ATACTCTGACGATGGAAGCGAGTGAGCTTTTGAAACGTCAGTCCAAATACAAATTGGTCCACGAACCCACCCCTTCTTCATCCTCTTCTTTGGAAGACGATGCACGCGATAAATACATATTTATACCTCGCTACTTCCCCAAAATAAGTAATACAAAATGTCTGCTGTTTTGTTTTACTGTTTCATAATTCCGCATGCACGCCTGCAGTCAAAACATGTTGCCTACTATGTACACGGTTATGTCGATTTAACATAGGTTCCTGCGCCGGTGCACTTGAGCAAAAACTTCATTTATGAGAAGTTTTATTTCCGCGCATTTGTTAGGCACTTGCTGGTTTTAATGAAACGTGAACGAAAATTCTGAATCGTATATTCGATTAGGAAGGATTACGTAAGTAGGATCTAATTTGGATTACTGAGAGGCATAACCACACGATATTTCTGCCAAGGCAGAACGCCGGCTTTTGATTGCATTGCTTATCGGTCGACTACAAAAATCACACCTGACAAAAAATGACCAAATAACTTGTATGCACTTTGTCTATTGACCTTTAATATCCTTAAAAAGTCAAATAAGACGAGCTTACCGAGACAAATCGCTCAATTTTACCGTGAAATACAAAAATTAGGCTCATTTGGTAGAAATTCACGGCTTCTTTAAATTTATAAGGGCATTGAAATTCAATAGAAAAAAACGCAATAGACATTTTTATCAAGTGTGGTTTTTGCAAGCGACTGAAAAGATATGCATTCAAAGCCGGCATCCTGGCGTATCTGACATATCGTTTAATTATGCCACATGCTGATAAATATTTCCACCCTACTTGAGTAATTTCCCTTAACCGAAAACGCATGACACGAGATCGGTCATTGACTGTATATCAGGGACGATTGCGTTCAATAAGTTGCCACTTAGCAGGAGACAGGTAAATTCATTTGATGGGAACTTAATCGATGCGTCAATATGGGACAGTTATATAGAACTCTGCGCAATAAGCGCTGGTTGGCTTGTGTTACCTTTGTAATGGTCAAAGTGGTGGGTGTACTCGGATCACTACAATCATCAGGTCGAAATCCCAGGTTGAAGGTAAAAGGCAGAAGTCACCAGAACTCCCAGTTGCAGTCTCAGGCGGCAGTGACCACTGACAAAGCCAGGGCTATTGTTGACTGCATCCAGTCAGACCTGAGAAAGAATGAGACAGTGGTGGCAGCTGCTTAAGTAGGATTGCGGAGCAGGTTCAAGTGTTCTGTTATTGGTGTGTTTCAATTGCCCGAGGGGATGTCGCCTGCAAAGGCCCCCTGCTGCATTGGCCAAAGAAGTGGCGTGGTAAGTGGCTCTTAGGAAGGCGTGTTTATTTGGACGCGCGTGTATGCGCGACGTGTGTGTGACTGAATAAGCTTAGGTCAACTGTGGGGGGCTGCCGGAGAGCCGAAGGACGGGGGACGCTAGAGTAGCTGTTATCAGTTAGCCAAAAGTAGCTGCGAGGTCAAGCCTCGGGGAACGGGGGCGCCAGTGAAATAAACCATTGGAACACATGATTTTGGGCAGCGGGCCTTGGAGAACGAAGGGGGAAAAGGCATTGACTGTCTGCCACACCTTTAACTATCGCTTGTTTTGTTGTTAATATCTCAGACGGGTTTCCGTCCTGTCAAACACTGCGCCCATTCCACTTCAGGCGACTAATCAGCTAGGCGGTAGCTCCATGCTGGCGGTGGGAGATAGAGTGAAGTCGACACTCAATACATGTATCTCCTCACTACAAACAAGCTGACGCGCTTGAAGCCATCACGGTGCGCTAAAAGCCGCGGCTTGGAGGGTTCCTCACTGACGGGACAACTCGAACCGCGTATTCAGTCCAGTATATGTTTTGTTCTGTGGCGTGGCTGACTGGCGGACTGAAAGTCAGGCAGGAATGGCTCCTTTTTAATGTGACCTTCATAGTACTTCCGCGTACGCGGAAGCCCACCTAGCAAAGACTATTATTCTGGCGCGCATTGGAGTGGCGGCCGCAACAGCCACCTGCGCCCTCCCACATCTCCGATTTTCTCGACTTTTCTTTTGGCATAGATGTGGGAGTGGTGAGAGTGAGGTAAATTCTGCGCGCGTTTACTTTCACTATAATCCAGCATTCAGCTTGCTGAAGCTCGTGGTGGAAATTTTCGAAAACGACGGTCGAACTGTCTAATATCTCAGAAGATGGACTGATGCACGAGTTCAGAAGCTCGGATAATATACAAATTCTTCTGGTGCTCAAATATCCTTCTAAAATTCAATTTGTACATACACCTGGAACTCCAACGTTCGCCTACATTCGTGCTTGATGTGTTTTATTGACGCGCAACGTATCTGAGAAGATATATAATTTTCACCAAAGTAGTTTTAGATAGTTCATTCTTCTATAATATAGCTTACGGGAAATGATGCCCCAATGGGCGGAAGAAACTCGTTATAGTTCGCAGGTCTACCAAGTAATAAACACCTGCTCATGGTAACAACTGAGAGAATGCGCTATATTTTAAAAGTATCATTTAAAATGTTCAGCAATAGAGCTCCGGAACTCGGTTTACTTCTTGACCACGTCGCCAGCATGTGTTTTAAGTATACGCTCTTCATTAGAGTCTCCTACTAGATTGGCTAAGCAATACACTGTAACAACTCGTCGGTTGTAAATGTATCGCCCTGTCGTCAAAAGTCGTCGTTTCTGACTAGAAATCGATTATGACCGAAGATTTCTAAGACGTTAAGCGCTCCAGTCCATTAAACATTTCCGAATAATCTTAAGGGTAAAAATTGGGATGTGCATGCCCTAATTCTTCAATAAGCGGTTTAGGAACGCAACTTACGGTTGAAGGGAGAGGGCGAATTTCCAGGCAAGCAAAGAGGGCCAAAATCCAACTGAGTATGCGAGGTAAGAGTAGCTGACTAAGCCAGTGACTTTTCAGACACTCGGTAAGGCGAGCGCATAGGATGTCAGCAGGCGCTTCTGCAACAATTTCAGCAAGGGAAGGGTAGGTAGCAACCAGTTCAGTGAGGTCTTCGTAGTTCAAGGAGTGGATGTAAGAACTGGATATGTCCAACGCTTGCAGCAGTTGGGGATGCCGGAGATTTTGGTAGTGCAAAAGCATGCAGGCCTAGATAAAATTACCGAAACAAATGAAAAAAAATCGGTCGATATTATTGGATTTGTGCGAGCACGACCAAAAGCACAAATTCCCCGTTGATTAACTAACCTTTGTTCTCTTGAGAAAGTTTTCGATTGAGTAGTCAACGCACATGTAAACGCTATCGACTACAAAGTTGAGCATGCAGCGGGACATACGAAATCCGGGGGTGTGTATCATCTAAACCCGAAATATAATAGCTTATAAAAAGGTTTACTAAATGTGCACTAAGTAGAAGTTTTATTAAAATGAAATACCTCTGTCAGTGCGGCCTGAAGGAACACGGCAGGCGAGGGTATTTTGAAGCGCTTGATGGCTAAACGAGAGAGGGTCATGGCATCGCAGCGGACCTCCAGGCCCAGATCAGCGGCGCCGGAAAGTCCAAAAACAAAACGAATGGGCAGTGCACCAAACATATTTTGGCGACCTAGAAGGCAATTTCCTTCGTCGGATGAGGGTTGGGAGGTAGCGCAGGTGGAAGAGTAGACAAATGCCAATTCGATGAAGTCCCGAAGTACTGTGGCTGAGATAGTCTCTATTGCCGGAATAACAACTACCAGAGGCCTCAGAACAGGGGCATTTGCTGTCCCTCCTAAAGGTAATTTTTACGAAAAGTTTTGTACTGGGGGACAAGAAGGCATTAAAGTGCTTCAAAACTATCGTGATTATGGCATACATAAAAGACTGACTTAGACTAACGCTTCTAAAAGAAGAGACAAGTTCTTCTTTTTGTTGGTAAATAAGGCATATTTCCAACACAGTAGTTACGGTTCTGCAAGGAAATTGGCACTTGATGTAACAGATGGATCAGTGTATGACGTTTCCGACAGGCAGCCAGACATACTTGAAAAGTTAAGATTAAGGAAACTAAATAAGCGTTAGCCGGAATTGAAAAGAGTGCAAATGTCGGAACAAAGTTCAATTATTGAAAGTTATGTCACAGCAACA